AGCAAGAGTAAATAGTGAGTGATATGTGCTTTTATTTGTACAATTAATCAAGATAGCTCTAATCTATAAAAAAAATGTTCGGCTTAATTGCACAACAATTTGGGTTCGTTTCTGTCATCATACAAATTAAATTACTCAATTCAAGTGAGACATGCATGGAAAGGAACACGGAACTAAACGCTTTGGAAATAACGGAGAGAAGTTTAGGACATTGTTAGTTTATTTTTAAATATAAGACTAAAACCAACTTCCTCTTAAACAAAGATACAAATAGTTATAAAAAGATAATGCAATTACATAATGAAACTTGCTTTAGTACGTGGTTAAAAAGCTCAGTGTGTGGATACACTAACACTGGGTCGAAGGTGAGTTCCTGAATGACGCTCCCTGCATTCCGACTAATTTGAAAATTCGCATTTGTGAGGCTTTTACGTGTTATCGTAAATGACCCTTTTTCATCGCGAGACATTCACTTCCCACGAATATTTGATAGATATCCACAGATATCAAAATAGATATCGAAGTCCTCATATTCAGGATGGCCGCAATGCCAATTTCAAAACAGAAATGCACATGTACTCGATTGGTCAGTTCTAGGAAGAGCATCGAGGAGGACCAAACCCTCTTTACTAGACATCCCCGGCCTGTGATCTCACAACTAGCCAACTAGCTTGAAACCGTAAAGTCCAGAGCAATCACAACATCACGAGATGCGAAGAAGTCCGCATACGATCTGACATGATGACGCATTTCACTTAAAAATGTCCCATCTTGTCAAAGGGCTGTAATGGACACTTCTGTTAATTAACGTTACATAAAGCCAATAAACGAAGTAACTGTTTAGCATTAGCTTCCAGTTCGAGACACGGAGAAAAACACAACTCATGTACGTTTAAAATCTAAAGAAAAGTGTTAGAGAGCCGGTATGGATGTTAAATGTACGGAAATGCACTTTTCCCTGCTTCTGAATTACAGTTAAACATCGCGACGCCAACTGTTTAAACAGGCAAAATGCTAGTTTTCTACATTCCAACGGGACGAAATTTACGAAGTTACACTGCTGAATTCATGAAAACTTTGTTTAAAAAATGTCTTGCAACAAAATCGTGATTTTTTTTTTTTCGTATTTACAACTTTAAAGGCCAAAACTAAAGAGGAAGGTAACTCACCGTTCAGATGCGAACCTTCAGTCCAGGAAGAGCTGAGTCGATAAGAGCTGACTGATGTGGGTGGGTCCTCCAAATTGTTTCCGTCACAGAAAACAACCTTTGCTCTGTCATTGACTGGAAGTCAGCCTGCTGGCGAGTAGGGAAGGCTGTGATGAGCCTCTGTCTCCACTGGGGACACTGGGACGTTTGTGCATCCATCAATAATCCACCTTCTACATCCCCTTCATACGAGTCAAGGATGGGGAAGGAAGCCTGAACATCACCTATGTTTGTGGATCCATGTTAACACCAGGCAAGAGGAAGTGCTGACCATAATATAACCTACAATTCTGCGATGGGTTGTGTTGAATAACTGCAGAGTTTTAATGGTAAATCTTTTATTGAACATTCGTATTGATAATGTAAAAATGGATATGCATTGGAATGTTAAATTCCCTGTAATATGAGATTATTGTATTCTCATAAAAACACTTTTGATCCAAAAAAGTGTATTTTCAAACTCTTTCAACTGTCTTTGAGCTTTCAGTTTATGCTGTTAAACGCATGCAAAGTTTTTAGTGGATTTATCTATATTCAAGTCTTAGAAGACCTTCTAGAAAGTCAATAAGTGAGCTAAATTAATTCTAATGTTAAACTCTCATGTAAATAAAGATTGTTTATACTAGATTCATGACAAGGCCCATCTGATATGAAATGAGGCACAGGATAACATTTTTCTACAGGCGACAACTCTGGACTTTTGGCAGTCCATTTGTGGCACTTTAAAACAGAATCATCACGATGTGTTTTGGCCATGTCTTAGCTAAAAGATCAGCACATATTTCAAATTTAAATAAAAGCAGAGTTGATGGGTCACGTCCGATGAAAAACAACTCCACATCCTTTCCCAAAAAGTTTGATATATTGTTCTTATATCTTTTTGAGTTTTGCATTCTTCAATCTCCTACACTTTACAGCAGATTGTCGTAGGTTTTATAAAAACTGGTTTGTGTCATACACTGACACAAACTGCTTTATCACTAGAAATCACCACACCTCTCCTGAACACACTAGATGGCAGCAGTCTACTTGTTGGTCAAGGACATTGGATCTCAGCATGCTCTCAAGTTGATGCTGAAGCTTGAATATCAGTAAAGCGATCCCAAATTATACTAAAGATTATTATTTACTATCATTATTTACTCATAAACTGAAAGTACAACACGAAATGTTAAGTTTAAAACATAGATTTTCCTTTAAAACCTTAAATTGAATTGATCAATAATCACTTTAATAAGATCAATGTGTTTTCTTTCCCATCATAAATAATTTTATTTGATAAAACTGTAAAGCATGTGCCTTTTTAAAAGTAATATAACTTCCATAGTTGTATGTGAACGACATATCAGTAGAGATGCAAACCATTCGGGACCTCCTATTCGCTGTGACGCAACAGAGTCCAGACCGGAGCGCAGCTTGGAGGATCACACCAGCAGTCTGGCTTTAGTTTCTCAACTTTCCACCCTGCGTGGCCCTTGTAACAGTTGTCCCGATTGTGGGGGTTCTGTTTTCGAACACAAAAAATAGGGATCCACCCAGTCAGCGGGCGCAGAGGGGATGACAGACAGAAGTTGGGTGATCCAAAAGATCCGGCGGTTCTGACGGTGCGGTCCCCCCAGAGACGGCAGGATGATGTCTGCCATGGAGCCCAGCGTGTACCAACCTGCACAGCTGCTCAGCTGGGTCTACATGTCCCTGCGAGACACGCAGGGCAGCGCTTTCGATGGCCTCAAAGTGGACCCGGACACCCCTCAGGACGCAAACAGGCGCAGCGCGGCAGACCTGAGCTCCAACTATCTCAACAACTTCTTCCATCTGAGCAGTGAGGTATCCCAAGAAAACGATGCTGTGCCATCAGAAGTTGTTAATGATGAACTAACACTTAGCACCACACTTTTGCAGCCTAAACGTCTATTTGATTTGACGTTGGTTTATAAATTTCAGTGTGCATCATTCCCTTGAATATTATTCCACCCTCCCTCCATCCCCCCAACACTCTTTTTTTTTTCTTCTCTCAGAGCTATTTTCTCTGCTCATACAGTAAACCTCAACCTGCATTCCTTCATTGGGTCACAGTGTGCCTGGTGGGCAGTATATGAATATGTGTTTTGTATCCTGGTATAGTGCCTAAGTGTTTTCAAACTGTTCTGGTGTCAGTGAGCAGCTGGAGGAACGGCACGTCCAGAAAAGACTTCTCACAAGGTTTTTTAAAAGTTAGAGCTCATCCTGACAGGCCTCTGCCAGAGCGGATGGGGAACTCAAGGGGGCTTGAAAAATTCAAATAGAGACTTGTTTACTCATTTTTTGATTGAAAATACTTTAGGCAAATCAAATTTTACAGAGGAAAAGGTACAATAAATGAGTGTGTAAACTGATCATTTGCTGCCTGTGATGCCTTCAGAGTAAACAGACAGCTTCTCCATGTTTTCCTCCCGGTGCCACAGCACCCATCTCCTCCAGAAGCACAAAGATGCTGATTATGTCTCGCCAGCGGAACCAGTTGGAGGAATGCATGACAAAGACATTTTGTTCTAAGGAGGAAATGGACACCATTAGTTCACACAGTAAACACAGAGAAGTCTGCACATCTGCAGAAATCAAATAATGCTGGCTGTACTGTGCGAGCAATGAACAGGAGAATCAATCAGAGTGGTGGACTGACAAGCCATGTGAGATTCTCTTTCACTGTAAAGCCCCAACAGTGATATTCTGTGTTTGGTGAAATGAGACACGCTTCTGTTCCGTACTAAATATAGCAACAAACTAAAACGTATAAAGAAAGATACATTATCAAGAAAATCACCAGGCATTCCTTAACCAGAGGCTATAATTTTGAAAATGATGTATCTTTAAATTATTGTTCAACTACTAATGACAAAAACAGTCAAAAGGTTCAGCCCAGTTATAAGTTAATAGTTCAGAATTATTCAATAATTCAGTTAATAGTTATGATCTATTGATAGTTATCTATCATCTCTGTGTGCTCTTTTCTCTTGCAGGCTTTGAACAACAATTTCTACAAAAAGTCCTCACCCTATGGGTCTCTTAACAATATTGTGGATGGCCTGAGTTCTCTGGCGGATCATTTCTCAGACCTCTCGCTTTCCCCCGAGACGCGCAGACCCAGCAAGAGGCCGCCGCCTAACTACTTGTGCCACCTCTGCTTCAACAAAGGACACTACATCAAAGACTGCCCTCAGGTGAGCCGGTCCGTGATGCTGCCCATCTGTCAGGGGCAGATCCGTACAGCGCTAAACTGAAACAGCTGTACAGCATGTGGTCATTCGAGCTGTTTGTCAAATGCTTGAAAGGGATTTGTAGAATGTATGAAGTGCTCTATGGCAAAGAGAAATAAATCAAAAGTGTATGATGACATATTTAATGACATTCATAACAGAAACGAAAATGAAATCCACATGTTTCCTCATCCTTGTGGGTGCCCACCCTGACGTTGAATTTAAACTCTAAATTCTGGTGTTAATATATAATGTTTGCATTATATCCTCAGTGTGAAATGGATTCCTCAGCACATATTTGAATTCGAATTACCACCACAGACTGCTAATGAGCAACAGATGCCAGATTGTATCAAAGAGCCGGCCTTAATAAAAGATGATGGGTTTCAGTGTGGAACTAGACACAACCTTTACTAAATATTACCCGCGCTGTATATCCAGCTGGCCTTCCTCATTAATCATGTTCAGAGTCAAATGCCTGACATTTTCAGGTGTTATGAATGTAATCATATAGCTGGTAGACATGATTTGTCCAAGAAGCAAAACATTGAAATTCAAATAACTCGACATGAAGAATCCTATAACGTAGAGTTCCCTTTAGCTTTGTGGTTCTTTCATGTGAAAGATGCAACTTTGTCTGGTGATTTCTTTGATTACAGTACTGACAGATTTATGTATTTGGTTTCTGACAAGGCAACTAAGGGATTAGAAGATGGTAGGGTTTTATTTCAGACATCAAATGTCATAATAGGTGCTAAGACATATTAGCCAAGCTTGTAAGACAAGTTGGCTACAATTTGTAAAAGAAAATCTGGACGGTGATCCATGTTCCAGGAACTGGCAATCTGTTTTTGTTTTTTGGGGTAAACAAAGCTAAACAAAGCAATTATAATTAGGAACTTAATTATGATTGGAACATCATGATAAACTTGTTCATGATCAGAGACAGGTAAACAGTTTTTTTAAGTTATTGTATTAATACACTTCTGACCAGATTCTTGGCAGTTTACAAGTCTTTATTTTCACTTAAAAAACATATATATTTATTCTACACAACTTGAACCAGATTGCTTTCTGTTCTGTTCTCTGAATGCTAATTGCCTCCATCAGATGATCAGTCATGGACTGTTTTGGCATCTGGCATTATGACATCTGGCAGACTTTCTTTTAAGTCTTTTTAGCAAGTGTGACTAAGATGTGGTTTGTTCCAGCATATAATCAAA